TCCTGCACTGAACATTGTATTTGCCAGCAGGTTAGAACTGAGCCTTGTGAGCCATCTGTGAGTTGCTGGGTATGTATGGAAAATAAGAGCTGTCTTCCAATCCAGTGCTTCCTTTAGATATCATGAAGGTTAAGTGCCTTCTTTCTGTTAATATCAACAATTTATGTACTAACTACTAAGTGAATCTAAATGAATAGTTTGGGGTGATCTTTGTACTTAGCCCAGTATGCAAGTAAGATGGTTCTCTTGATTCTGGGAGAGGAAGAGGTCTGTTTGTGCAACCTTGGCGGCAGACATGGGTATGTGTTCCTGGTTGCAGAAGGGGCAAATGTTTAAGAAAGCTGGAGACTGGGAGACTGCTTGTGAGAAGTATTACTACATGTTCATTCTAGCCTGAATAGTCTTCCTTTGACACTATGTATTGGAAGTGTCTGTATCATGGAAAACAAGATTTAACCACAAAGGCTGTGTAGAGTGTGACCCTGGTGCCCCAGAGCACAGATCATACCCACAGCAGCCATGATCTTCCTCTTAACATACTCAGTGTAAGTCAGAGCATCTTGGGTCACATTTTCCAGTACCACTTTCAGTGTTCCTTGGGTAGTATTTTTAATATTATCAGCTGAAAAATAACTGTTGCTCAAGAGCATTTCACCGATTTCATTGGCAAATATCTAAGCAAATCTTAAAGGTGAAGCTCATGATCAGGACAGTCTTTCATTTAATTTCTTTTTCCTTTCCTCCCACCTACATTTTTTCACCCTTGAAGATGGCAAAGCCTTGTATATGGAGACTTTTACTCACTGATCTCATGCCCTGAATTATGACCTCTTCATTCCAGACCAATTTTTCTGGTAGTCATTTATCAGTACCTCTGCTAGATATGGGGATAGTAAAGTTAACAAAAAGCATGTAGTTTAACTTCTAGAACCCAGGGTAAAAATGTAGTGTCAAAGCATGGAAAGTCTGGGGTTTTCCTAATGAAAATGAATAAACTGCATTATCGAGACAGTAAAGAGGAAGTCCCACGATGGTATTGTACACAGCTTTGCTTTTTTTATTACACAACTTCACTTTCTTATTGACGAGAAGTAATTGATAAAGTAAAATGAATCACACCCTAAAATTCCAGTCAGCTTCTCTCAGCAAATAAGGAGAAACAGGCAATTCAGAAGAAAATTCATTCCCTCAGTCTTTGATACCCATTTCAGGATGGAGGGAAGAACTCATCCCTCAGGAGGAGGACAGGATGCTGTCTTGTATGTGCAGCTATCATTGCTTAGCTTTCAAATTAATACCATTATAACAACCTTCTCCAACCTGTTTTTGTGACTGGAAACAAATGAAAATGCAGTCAATATTTGCAAATGCAAAGTTCTGCAGCAATGTAAGTAATTCTGCTGTATTCCACCCTGCTCCACAGAGCAGCAGAGAAGGTTCTTTAATTTACCCACTAAGAACAAAGTGCTGACTTGGCTCTGTGCTTCTTGGAAACCGTCTTTGCTCTGCTATTTCCTGTTATTTTCTCAAGGTTTGTGTTTCAGATGCGAACGGGGACCTGCTCAAAATCTCTTTACGTTTGTAGCGGTGTGACAAGGTTCCTTGGACAGATGGGTGTTGCTTGCAGGTAAACAGGGAATGAAGAGCGAAAGCACGGCAGAAAGTTTTCCCGTTTCAGTTCTGAGGCTTTGCTGCTTCACCGCCAGCACACCCTGGTGAGCAGCCGCGTCCACCTCTGACCTTGCTTGACACGTTCAGCAGAGGCTGCTAAATCTCGTTTCCTCAGACTTCCAGCACTTCGCATGATTGTTCCTCCTTCCCGTCCGAGACACGGCCCCTCGGTGAGCCGGTTCGTGCTCGCTGTTGTCGCGTTGGCAGCGGCGCTCGGCAGCTCCTGTCACCCAGCTCTGCTGCAGTGTGACATCGGGAGCTGTCTGCGGGCCAGGCAGCGCTGCAGGACAAGCAGGAACTTCTGAACGCTCCTGGCTGCATTGACAGATGATTAAATTTAAAGACGATGCATTGCCACTGCGTTTGTTTGAATGACTGTGGTGCTTTGGTGTCTGCTAGTGTTGGTTGACAGGGTAATTTATAGAGTTTTTGTTTGTGTGTCTTGTGAGAAGGGAATATATCGCTGCAGTGACACCTCACCTATGTTGGTGGCCTTATTTTTGGATGCCAAGGTGAATAAAGTGCTGTCAGAATCTGCAGATGACCTGGCAGAAACTTAATGATTGTCCTTAAAACCATTTGTACTTTCTGTTTTGTGACCTTGGCAGATCAGCGATTGGGAAATTTTTTCACATGCTGTCTGCACCTGCCAGCTTTGCCATGCAGCAATAGGTCATTTCCTTTCCAAACATGACTGGCTTCTGGTATCAGTGGGAAATTGGCAGCTCTTATATGAAAGCAGTATGATTCCAGTTTCCTCTTTTGGTGAGATAGGAAAGGATTCCTTATTGTTATGGGCCCAGAGCCCTATCAGAGCTCTCTTCCCCACTTAACTGCTTTTTCAGTCACTCAAAAACAGTTTGTCAATACTATACAGCATCATCTATTGTACTGCCTTTGAGATTGCCCCAAGTCCATTTTTTTTCCCAGTATCATGGGCTTAATTCTAAACAGAACTGCAAAACCTAAAGTGAAAATATTTCTATCTTCTTCTGTCTGTTGGTCTTTCTTCCTCATTTCTGTGAAAGAACAAGAGAGGGCAGAATAAAGTGTCTACCTGGTGGTAGGGCTTAAGAAACGACACAGAATTGAAGCGTACTTTTCTCCCTATTTCTTTGTCATATCAAAAAGTTGATGTGAAGTGGCACTCATGGTGCTTTCAGTTCTCAAGAAAAGACAGAAAGCTGTTGCAATGACTTCTTTGTAAGGGGTGTTTAAATCAGCCGACAGGGAATCAGTAGTGTTGGGCAATTGCCTCACATCCAGCCTGAAGCATCACCTTTGCAAAGATCTACAAAGGAGTTACGTTGCTGACAGTGAGGTGGGGAATTTTGTTTCCACTCTTAACAGCGTAAAGCAGCTGCATTGGCTTTACAGGTGATTAAAAGGATTGCTCTCTCTGAAAGTCAGGGTAAATTGTTAGTACACCCAATGTGTGTCTTTTTCTTCCTGCACTTACTGGAGATGAAAATAAAATCGTGGTTTTGTCTGTGCTTTCGTGTGGCATTATTAATGAAACAGGTAATCCCATTTGTCTTAAAATCAAGGCAATGATCTCTTGTGTTCTGTCCATCTGTTCCAGACACCAACAGCATGTTCATCACCATGGTATTGGAACAGTCTGGTACACAAATAGCAATCAGCAGTTATTAACATAATATTATTACTTGGTCCATAAAGCTTAATATTAGCTGAGATACCAGACATCACACATTGCGAGACAGTTTCTCAGATGATGTACTTTGTTCTGCCAGAATATGATAACATTCTGTATTAAAATCAGTAAAAGGATGCTTTTTTTGTTTGTTTGTTTCATGCAACAAAAATTGCCAGCACAATATACATATATAAAAATTTTCTCTTTACATCCAGTAATTTACAATCCATCACTATCTATTTGTAGAACAGCATTCTTTAGAAAACAAAAGGGTTTTTTTTTTTTATTTTTTATATGCATTAGATCAAATCAAACCACTGAAAGTTCCCCTTTCCTTCCTTTCTCCCCCAGCTGCTGATGTAGACTGATACAGGAGTGGGTCTTTACATGCAGAAGACCCTTTATCTCAAACTTGACCTAGACAAGTTTAAGTCTGTTCAGCATGTGACCTCCTTCTGTGGTGTTGAAGGGGTGGCATGTGACTGCAGCCCACAAGGAAGTCCCTCAGAACATCCTGAACACCCACAAAATTTGGATGTTTCGTACTTGTCCTTATTCCCCTTCATACATCTCATTTATACATGTTCAGAAGTCCAACTTCAAACATCTCCTTTTTGTTTGGTCACTTTTTGCTATTATATAACTTAAAGATTTATTTTTTTTCGGAGTTGAACAGCTGTACTTTTAAAATCACTGGTATTTAAATTGCTGGTTAAAATGAGTAGGTTCCTCCTGAGTGGCATATTTGTGCCTATCAGGTTAAATGAGTAGCCCTTCTATATCTCATTCTTCTTCCCTTCTTAATCAGAATATATTCCTGGGAGACCTATTTTGTAAGCCTGTCTACAGAGACTTCTACACAGCAGCAAGATGGAGCCTTTTCATCTTGAAGCTTCAGAGTTACCGTGTAGCAACTATGAAACAGAAGTGAAACCAAGGCATTACGGGGCCCCAGTTTTTATACACGGCTTTTGCTTGCTTTAGAAGGCAAATTGCTGCTAAATTAACATTTCTGTAAGCATTATGGTGCCCACACAAGTGCTGCTCTAATGAAAGGGGACGTCTTTATCTGAGCTGGTTGTGGTGATGTTGGGAGGGACGAGCAGGTTGTGTCAGCCATTATTATTCTTTTAGTGAACATGAAACTTAACTGGTACCGGCGATACTGGTTCTGTCTCCTTTTTTATATCAATAGCTTTTTTTTTTTTAAAAAAAGAAAGCTTAACTACAATTATGCCTACTATTAATAATCAACTATTAACTATTACAATAAACTGATTAAAAATGCAAATAGATTGTTAAGAACGTTGTTGTCAAGTGGGCTGTATATGTGTGGGCGGGTCATCCATTGGGATGGAAAGGCCAACAGGATTCTAGCTGTAAAAACAGAGGATCATCCCCTACAGGTCAGCTCTGCCTTGAACGCTTTTTGTGTTCAAAACTAATAAAATGAATAAAATTAATAAAAATGAGCTTTTGGCTCAGCTGTGGGAAGGAGTCCAAAGTCCTGGGTGACTTTCATACATGTCTAGATACAATGAAGGGCAAAGTGCAGCATTTTTATCCTGTCATTCCCCTGTTATCACTCTCAGTTATTAAGCAAGTGGTGGGTATTAAGATAAAGCTTGCCTGAAACATTTAATAGACATTATCTATTAGACTGCATGTGCCCCGTTTTATTTCTTTCAGGGTCTGTCCCTCACTGGATGCCAGACTGTCCTTCGGGATATAGCCCAGTGAGCAGGAGAAAAGTGTTTGAATTTGGTAAAATGGCCATAAACATAAAGGTATAGTTGGAACTTTCTTGGAATACTCTCCCCTGCCTTCCTATCATAGGCCAGTATCTTGGTTCTCTGCAGCCAGTTGCTTTGGAGAAACGTTATGGAGAAGAATAATGAGTCGTTTCTGACTCAGTTTAATGGCTTTATCAGGACTGAAAAAGCTTTGGCTGGACGAAGTGCTGTACCCACGGTTCATTTCATGTAGCTCTCTCTGTCGTGTGCAGTGACTGCCCACCAAAAGAAAATGAAGATGCATTGCTTCAGCTTTCATAAGGACGATCCGTGGCAGGTTTTGTCGTATCCCTGAACAGAAAGTGGTTCCAGAGGCCATCAGTTTTCTCTGCTCCCGTGTCCGCAACGTACATTGCAACAGTACATGTTGTCACTGCACAGTTTCCCCGTGTCCTCTCAGTTTTAGATAGGCTGCATCCTCCTCAGTAATCTTTGAGGTTTATGACATGGAGCATAAAATGTAACCACTAAAATAGGGCGGATGGTTATTTTGCACAATTTTGAACAACTACTCAAAGTGGGAATGGGGAAGAATGTCTGACCTCATAGTTCTGTAGAACTGGGTGCCTTTCAAAATAGATGCTCAGAGTGGGGTGCTCATTCAATTCACCAAGTGTTAAATTTGACACACTCTAGGAAAGATGAGGCAGACTATTTCGAATTATGAGGAGGGCTGGGATCTCTGATATTGTTAATTATGTGGTGATGAAAAGCACAGTAGTCCATTGTTCTTTCTGAACTACAGTACTAGAACAAAAAAAGCAATGAAAAATCATCACTGAGGAAGCTGCCACCTTTGTTCCCTTGTGTGCTGTATCTCTTCCATGGGGATATCCCATGGACACCAAATAGGAAAGCAAATGTAGTTGTCCTGATTATTTTTTTCTTCAAACCCATCACACATAATAAGCCTCTGTGGCCTTCTGCCCCACACAACTTTCTGATGCTCTTGATTTAGGTATGATGTTACTGTGCCTTTTGAACCATGTATTTTAGCAGATTTTGTATTTAAACACAAAAACCCAACTATGGAAAGCATATTACATGGGGCAATATTATGTTAAATAACAGCCAAATTTGAATAGTTAATCTCATGTATTCAAAATGTCACCCTTTTTTTGCATGGTACAAAGGGAACCTCATTAGTTAATGTACACAGGCAATGCATGCAGCATGTAGGGAGAGACTGCATTTAACTATGAATTATTAGATCCTTGAATAGTTTTCTTTTCTTAAGATAAAAGAGGCAAATAATTTGAGTACCGTATCTCAAATAATATTATTTGTAATTGTTTCTCACAATAGCCAACGTAATGTAAATAGGTTTTTTAATTTCTTAATGGTGAATTTATAGCTCCTGAAATTATATATTTGTTCTCTCCTTTTGCTTGCTTTTAGAAAGAAACTGGAGCTGCTTCATCAGTGCCATATCATACTGTGGTTGGCCACATGAAGAGGATCATATTGATGAATTAGTGCAATGACCCTCCCAGACATGGAAGGATACCTCTCACAAGAAAATCCATAGGTGACTAATAGGTGGTCAATAGTCTTTGAGATCTGGGAGAAACATTTTGGTGTATCTGGAAATCAATCTAGATCTGCCACTGTGGATATTTAGTCTTAATTCATGCTTTTCTACCACATTTCAGAATGTGTCCTGTGTCTGAACACCTTTGCTTTCTTGTTTGTTTGTTTTTTACGTTTGTCAGTCACTACACTACTTAGAATCAATTTAACACCCTTCCCTTGTGTGGAGTGGTTCCAGGGAGTGATGATTGCAGGATTAGCCTGCTGGTAATTAAATGTTGCTGCCTCTTAGCTTGAAAATGAAACAGCTCTATGGAATTTAGGAGTTTCTTGCTTTATTTAGGTTGTTATGTGTCTAAATAGTATGGATAGGTGTACCAAGTCAGTGCAGACACAGTGCGATCTTAAAAAAATAAATTAAAAATGCAAAAAGAGAAGAGAAAGAAGGAGAGAAAGACAGAGAAGGAAAAGAACAAGAAACTATGGGAAGGAAAACAAGTTCACTCAGCTCATTAAGATTTCGAATTGCATGGAAAATTTTCCAGACTTAGCTGAATCCTGAGTGTAATTTCCTAATTTTGGCTTCATACAATCCAGACAGAGTTTCATGTCGGGACTCATTTTCACTCGCAGATGGGTCTTCAAAATTTGCAGGTGGTAAGTTGTGTAAAATAGGTCGTGTTGCCTGTTTGTTGAAGCCTGGAGGTATCCCTGTTCCAGTAAAGCAAGGGCTGGGTTCCTTACCATTTGTGGACTAAAGAACCCACTGAATGCTTGCTTCTCATATTGGCTTTACCACTATGAAGAGTTATATCTCCTGAATTCACTGACTAATGTTTTAAGCAGAATTAAGCCTTTTTTAATTTTATTTTTTCTTAAAATCTGCTATCAAAAATCACAGTATTCCACCATTCAAAGACAGTTCTTTGCTTCTTCAAAGACTTGTTAAACTGATGTGTACCATCCTCCTTACAGGACTGTAGTGGTGTAACCTCATATGATACAAATGATGAGCTTCTATTTGAAATAATAGGGATGATGCCTAATCCTGGACAGTTCTGTCTGGCCTGTGTTAGGGTAAAGATCAAGGCATTTGACTGTCATAATTGAACCACAGCCTGAGCTTTTTACCTTGAGCTTTTGTTACATTTAAGGATTCATGCTGAATAACAATAATAAAAGATGAATCCCATCTGGTTTTCTGTTGATTGTTAGTTTAATTTAGTCTATGACTACTCAAAGTTTAGCCTGCCAGCCAAGGAAGGTATGCAGTTATCAACATTACTGATAGGATAAACCAATTATGGAAGCTTATTTTCAAATCTCCCCAAATCCCATAATACTTAACAAAGTAAAACCCTTGAGTTGAAATGTACCTGTTAACAGAAAGATACAACATCAAATAGAGGCTTCATTTAGAGCTTTGGGCAGACTAAATGGCCTTGTTGCCTGCCTTTTTTCTTTCCTCTGTTGCCATTTTTAGGCATGAAATATAGCAGGAAACTGAGAAGAAACTATGGACAAGCGCAGAGTTGTAAGAAAGACTTTTGATAGTTGTCAGAAAGAGTTCTGTGCTTGCAAAGCTGTGGAGGCCGAAGCCCTGAACAGTATGTGCTGTGTTTTGAGGGTCTGGTTAGTGCTGCGTCTTTGAGCTGTAACAGTTATTTCTCAAACAGTGTCTAACCATTGCCTTGGCAGGACTCCAGATTAATCCTGTGGGGAGAGGAAAGTGCCTGTGGAGCTTGGCAAAAGTTGCTTGTTCTTTCCTCCTGAAGATATGTGTTTGTTCCTGGGTAGTGTGGGAGGTGACTCCTCCTTTCTCTCTGCATTTGTAGCCACCATGGAAACAGATAATCCCAGAAGATGGTTTAATATGCAATTGCAGACCCAAATGTCATTATATAGGTCTGAGACTCTCTCTCCTGACACTTAATTGGACATGCATGTGCAAACAGTTTAACAAGCCTGCTAATGAATGCCCCAAACCAAGTTAGATGGAGCTTCTAGGGAATGAACAGGGTGAGAAAAAAATGCCAAGGGCCAAGAAAGACAAAAAAAGCACAAAGAATAGTTGAGAAAGACATTCAAAATTTGGATCGTGACAAGTGTAAAATGTTATTGTCGATGTCAGGCCATGAAACAAGAGGGACATTCTGTTGTTGAATCACGTGTTTCAGGCCCCTGTAAGTGTGCAATACACAAAGTATGTGCCAGGCAGGTGTGTAAACAGGGTGAGCAAACAGAGGAGGATCGTGAACAAAGAAAAATTGAGAAGAAAGTTTTTGAAGATGGAAGAGGTCACAAGAGAGGCTGGTGGCACAAAAGCTGGTGTGGAAGAAAAAGGGTGTGACAATAGAAGGAAAGCTAAAAGAAAGTACAGCCACTGATTTGATTTGCTGTTTTTCATTAGAAATGTATCCTTTTGCCACATGAAGAAGATACAAGCTTTTCAGCTTACCGGGGTGAAACTCTCTTCCAGAACTCTGGTATCAAAGCCACCTACAAAACCCAATAAAGCAACCTTCAGTATTAAATCAATGTCAGTGTTAAATAACATCCGGTGCCAAGCAGGGAGATGCCAGCCCAGCTGCATGAATGGGTGCCAGAGCATTTATATGATAATTGGTATGATGAATCAAACTCTTAAGCAAGCAGATACCTAAGCAAAGAGCAGAGCGGCCAAATTCCATGGAGCACTACCCTGCTATCTCCCCTGTTGCAAAATGCATGAGTCAGAGGTAGGAGATAGCCCTGGGCAGGACCTGCAGGGAGTACTCTGATCCCCTCTTGAGCAAAGCTGATGTTTCTGGGCCCTTTTCAGGTGTGCTTTCCAGCAGGACTCTGCCCCAGTGTCTATGGGGCATTCTACCAAGCTCTGCTGCAGCAAGGAAGGGTTCGTTTGCTAGAAGGAAATGAGTGCTGCGAGCAGGACATCAGGAGAGGGCAACCTCAAAGTCCAACCCCATGTTGTGGTGAGAGTTTGAGTGGCCATTATAAAAACAAACAGGTTGGATCCTCAGCTGGCACAGAGACACACGGGAGCTCAGTGTATGAGCTCGGGTTCTGTCCCCTCTATCTCTCGTGGCACTGAAGATTATGACTGAAAAGATGCCCAGAAGATAGCAGATGAAGTGAAGTGTACTGAGTTCACCAGCAAACTTAAGTAAAAGCCTGAGATGCTTAATTTATCCTTGGAATCATTTTAGTGGTGAGCTTTTTTTACCTTTCTTGCGGATGCTGTCATAAATGGTCTGTGGGAACGGTGGAATTGTCATATCTGGACGTTTTCAAGAACGCCATTATTGACATCAAAATTGATGCAGCTGAAGCAGAGGAACTGACTGGATCATCTCTTGGAGTCTCTTCCAACCTTCTTTTTTTTCCATGATTTTAGCAGGTGCATTCAGTTGCTGTCCTAAGCTGGCAATGTTACCCTGCTTCCATGAGGCTCGTGTCCCAGAAGCCACAACTCCCACAACCCTCTGCTTTCTCCATAGCTACTCACACAATACAAAATGTGGTATTGTCAGTTTTGCAAAATATAGCGAAATCATGATCTGAACCATGGCAACAGTGTAAAGTAAAAAAAGGAAAGATACCAAAGTTAATAGGTAATCAGCTTATTACAGTGTTTCATGTCTTTCTCAACATAATTTTCTACTTCAAATTTGGGTGACAGTTGCCAGAAAAACTTCCACATGCTCACGGCAGTACTCAAGTAAACTGGGCCTGAGGAAAGGAGGCAGAACAAGGTGCTAGATCTCTTTCTAGGAGTTTCCCAAAAGAGATTTAGCTCACTGGAGTTGGACATCTGCTCTCCCAGCATCCTGCTATTGCTTCACATCCCCTGAGTGCTTTTGATACCTCACCCTGCCTGCACCTCTTGTCTTCTGCCTGTGATTGGAACCAATGTGAAAGCTCTGGCTCCATTCCCCTCACTGTAGGATGTGACAGCACAGGCCAGATGTCCAGCAAAACCAAGAGGTAGAGCTGGACATCAGCTGTTTCCTGGTGATTCACAGACCAATAAATTTCACTGCACTTCTGTAAGAAGCAGTGAGTGGTAGTGGACCAGCACTTTTAAATGGTCCCAAAATACCGTTTTCCTCTCCATTACTATTTTTCTGACATTAGACTACACCTGAGTATGGGTTCATTTGTTCTTTCCCTTCCAACAGTACCACAGATCCATCAGCAACTTACTTCTCCCTTGCCCTTTACTTCCTAAATCAAGAATGAATAGGAAGAATTTGCTGACACCACTTTAGGTGTGCTGCCAACACATCCAAAATGGATTGGTTATATTGTCTAAAAACCACCGGTAGCTGACAAGTCCTGCAGAGAGATTATATACATGGGAGGACTGTGAGCAAGACGAGAGAAACACACTGCTATTGATAAGCTAAAATCAGTGTTTGTTCCCCAGCACTCCCAGTATCAAAACAGCCAATTGCAATGTTGTGCCTTCCTGGTGCCTGACCTTCTTGGCTAGACTGTTGTGCATCTATCAGCCTGTGAGCTTCCCACTCCATGGATCAGACACTGAGAAGGGGGAGGGGAAGTGAAGGGCAGAAGGCGGCAAGAGGGCAAATAAATACCTATATTATTTTTTTTTCTGATTTTATACATAGTCTAGGGAAAAGGACCCAGCAGGGGGCAAATGGTATCTGAACACTGCTGTGCTAACGTGACAGCTTTATGGGGAGGCAGTTCTGGGTCAGAAGCCTGATTCCTCCTACCTTTGGTTCAAGAACTGTTACACAGGGGGAAAAAAAGACATTTTCAGGGTAAAACTGTGGTAGAGTGGTAGAGAGCAGACCTGACACCTTCCTTCACCCTGTGACTGTGTGATATGGTTATATAGCTAAGAAATATGGACCATCTCATATAAAGTAAGGGCAGAAGAGGAAGGTAGAATGAATCCTGCTTTCTGCAGACTTCAATCCACACAGGGGACATCACCCCAGTCCCACTGGCAGAGCAGGCATGGGGGCTCTGTACTGCACTGCAAAACCTGAGCTGTAACATTCCTCCCCCCATCATCTGTGCTGTTTCTCCTCCTTCCTTTCCCCTCTGACACCTGACTGTAGCCACTGCAGCTTGCTTTCGCCCTCCCTCCCATCCTCTGCTCTCCTGTCCCCTCGTTTCCCAAAACCTTCTCTGGCGCACGCCTTTTGTGGCCTGGGGAGGAGAGAGATGGGAGCAGGGGAGGGCAGATTACCTGAGTGGAACCAGGAACCAAGCAGAGTTCAACCTCAGAAACACGAGTTAGTGGGTCAGGTCACTGCCCCAGGGTGGATGGGACAGGGGAAGGTGGTTACATGTCATGTGCTCATGGCTTTCCCTTGGCTGCTCTAGTAAAGCACTGTAGCCCAAGCTGAAGGAAATTCTGCAGCTAACAGGATAAAATCAAACTCTATTTTCACAGGCAGAATTCAGCCCTGAGGGTACACAATGTTTCCCTAACTGGCATCTGATATTGCCCTTTGCATTACGCTCCTGATAGTGAGAGAAGAGCAAGGCCTCTCTGACCATCCAGCAGTTCATGGTGTACAAGACAAACTGTGAATAACCCCTGAAGGCAGGAGGAGAGACAGGACAGAATGTGATACACAGGTTATAAACCATTGCTGAGATCCCAGCTAGATAGCAGGCAGGGGTCTCCAGCTGAGCCTGTTCATCCAGTTAAACACGTGCATGCACTCAGCTGCAGGTGACATCAGGGCAGCAGGTGACCTCAGCCTGAGCATGGGCAGCAGAAAAACCTCCCTGCACCTCCCCACAGAGCTGGGGTGAGACTTGCTTTTCATACTTACCCCTTAGCCAGGGGTTGCTATGACTGCCACCCTGCCAGTGCAGTCACACAGATTAAATATGCTCGTCTCAGACACAGACACATTTCTCTGAGATGAAACAGCATCCCAAACTCTTATTAACCTGTGCCCTACTTCAGAAGTAAATCTAATTTGTGGGTTCATAGTTAGCTGGTGTTGGTTTGTCCCTGTGTCTACTCTGACTTTGCTGGGTACATTTAGGCAGTGCCATATGTGGCAGAGCCTCTTATGTATTTGTGGCCTGTGAGCATTATTCCTGACAACAGAATAAGGAATTGGGGTGGTTGGAGCTTTTTGTTTCACTGAGAAAGAGAAAAGTAAAAGCACAAATGTTAAAAATGTCCCTGCAAAACCAATTTTTGTACTCAGCAGAGAATTAAGTGCTGCCTGCTAAATGAAGTTTGTCATCTGGGATATTCCTGCACATCTGGTCACCTTCCATAGAGTGCCTTGAGAGTTGTGCTGTACAGAGAGGAGAGAGTCTCAGAGGATTCACTGGATTTCTGATGGCAAACATCAAACAAAATGGGTATTGTTTCACAAGTGCACAAAGTAATAGAGAAAGGGAAGTGGAAACTTTGGCGATGGCCACCACAGAAGCAGCAAGTACAGCAAGGTATGTGGTAGATTCATCTGCAGATTATGTTACCTAACAAGCAAGGAGGGAAAGCAAAGGAAACCCAAACCCTTGGTAACCAGTGCTCAGCATTGCCAATTACACCCAGCACAGTTTATTGACTTTTTGTGAGGAACTGAACGTAACTAAAACCACAAAGATGTGAGGAGCATGAGTGACTTCTCTTGGTCTTACTGTGGGGAGAAAAAGGACAAGTCTGCAATTTCAGTTCCTCTGGGGCTTCAGCTCTACTCTGTTGCTGTCCAAGGGAAAGACTCCCATTCACACTGGTTATTTTGATAGTCCCTGGCTGTACTTACACTCCTGGAAGTCAGGATTGTGAACACAGCATCTAAAGCTTCCCAGCTTGTAAACTGAGTCCTACACACACTTCCCTGCACAGGATGTTTCAGTGATCTTGCAATACACTTGGAGATTGTTCCTCCTGTCCTTTGAGCCTGTTGGAAGATAAACTTTGGTCAGTGTATTATACTATGCCCTTTGTAATGAAATAATGTCAGATAATATGTGTTTAGTGGGGATTTAAATTCCTGAGCTCATTACAAGGAGCTGTTAAGACTTGTAAGGTTTAGCAGTGCCCTGTGTGTGAGTCTGGAATGATGTGCAGCGTTGCAGTCCTGTGCCCTCTGTGATGCTGTGGAATCAGCTGGGGCCTAGGAATAAACCTGGGAACATCAACAACTAAAGTGCCAGCAATACAATCTGATGTTGAGTGAGAATTTGCTATAAGTGGTTGACCAGAAAACCACACTCCTGTACTGCAAATTCTTCCAGCTGTAACAGGTTGTTTGCTCTGAGATCCCAAGCATGGGACAGTCCCTCCACGCCCAGCAGCAAAAAGAGCGTGGAAATATTTACTGTTCCCGAAGAATGCTGTGAAATGCGAGCTAACTAGCGCTGAAAAAAAGCCTTTGATAAAAGATGCAACGGCAGTGTAAAAAAGCATTGTGACTTACTAATGCCCGTGGAGAACAGAGGCCTGACAGAGGCTGGAGAAGTCCCTGTGCTGCTCCAGGTGCTGCTGAGCTGCCACCCCTGCTCTTCCCAGTTTTAGTGCAAGGTCTCCAGTTCTACCCCCACCAGACACGGAGATAAGTGGTAAAACAAGCAGCAGAGCGGGTTCTCCCCTTCCTCCCTCCACCTGCCGGCCTGTCCGCATTCCCAAGGAACATTCCCGACGTGCGATGTCCCTGCCCTGTCCCTCCCACCACCCCCCGGCCCCGGGGCCTTGGTGGGACACTGGGAACCCCATCGGGGCGTGGGGGTCAGACCCGGGCGGGGGTCGGAATCGCCTGGTCACCGCCTGGCGTGGAGGGAAGGGAACCACCGGGAGAAATAAGGTAACCACAGGAGGAAAGGGAACCACCGGGCCGCGCTGGGGGGTACCGGGCCCAGAGGGACGGAGGAAGGGACGGAGGAAGGGATGGAGGAAGACATGGAGAAACGGATGGATCCCGGGAGGGATGGAAGGATGGAGCCCGCCACGGGACCAGGGATGCGCCCCGGACTCTGCCCCGGGATAACTCTCGGGTGCGGCCCCGCGAGGCCCCGCCCCCCGCGCGCGAAGGCCCCGCCCCCGCCCCTCCCGCGCGCTGACTCGCCCGAGCTGCCACGTCTGCCCGCTGACGTCACCCCGGCCGGCGCCCTGCGGCCAATCAGTGGCGCCGCCCGCCGCGCCAAGCCGACGGGGCCTAGGGAAGAAAGGCCGGCCGGTGCGCATGCGCCGCCGCCGCCGCGGGGGCAGCCGGGAGAGCGAGTCCCACAAGGGGCGGTTTCTGCGGGCCGGCGGCGGCGGCGCGGACTCGGTTTCCCGTGGCGCCCCGCGACCGCCCCCCGGCCATGTAAGCGCTGCTCGGCGAGCGGCCGCCCCGTTTCCTGGTCGGGCTCCGGCGGCCATTTTGGGCTGAGGCGCAGCGCGGAGGCCGCGGAGCGGGCGCGGGCGGACGAGCCGAGCCGAGCGCCGGGCGATCGCGGCTCCCTCGGACCAGCGCACCGCGGAGCGCCTGCCCTCGGCGGCGGGAGGTGCCGCCGCACCGCCCCCCCTCTCACAGAGCGCTCGCCGTCCCTCGGGCCGCGGGCCCCACGGACATGTCCAGCATGAACCCCGAATAGTGAGTGCGGGGCGCGGAGGCCCCGGGGCCGCGCTGGGGGCGCCGCGCGGCGCGGGGGGGGGCCGGGCCGAGACCGTGGTTCCGATGGCTCGATCCCCCCCCTCCCGGTGTCCGCGGGGCCGCGCCCCGGGCCGGGCGGCGGGAGAGGAGAAGGGGGGGCGGCGCAGGGGTGGGACCGGGGGGGCCTTGAGGGGTCAGTGGTGTCCCCGCTGCGAACCGGCATCGCCGCCCCAGCGCCCCGGGAGCGCCATGGGGCGCAGCCCACGGCGATTTTCCCGGAGCTCGGGAAGCACAGCGGGGCCTTGGATCCAACAAGTGCCCGGGGGGGCACCGGCGCCTGGGGAAAGGCGATGGCCCGGGCCCGCGGCGGATCGGCGGCCAGGGGTCCACCCTTCGCCGGAGCTGCGAGTCATGTGTGTGTCACATGGCTCTTGCAAAACACTTCTTGCCTATGTAGATTTTGCAACGCTGCGACTCAATAATGGAGCGCTCTCGGGGCTCTGACTGGAGCTGGAATAGCACTTGCCTGGAAAGCCTGGGGATGACACAGGGTTTTTTGTTTTTTGGGAGGGTCGTTGTGTGAGTGTGGCCTTTCCCCGCTCGGGAGTCGGGGTGTCTGAGCTCTCTAGTAGCTCTTGAGAGCTGTGTCCTTCCCACCGGGCTGTGGGGGACAATAAACCCTGTTTTGCTCGTGGGTTTTTTTTGAACGAATGAGAGGAGTGACTTGGAGTGAAGTTTAAAAAGCACTTCAGAAATCAGCTGCTGCACTGCCAACCCTTTAACCTTTGGGGTGTGTTTAGGCTTCTGGCTTTGCTGGCACTCTAGTTTGGGGGTGGTGAAGCCACTGTGCCCTCTGATGTCACTCAGGTGGTTCTGGTACTGAAACACACGTGTGGTGTGACGTTGCTGGTCTGGATACCCATGGACTCTGCTCCTGGCAGACACTCTCACAACCTCTGTCCTCACAGCTTTTCCACACAACATAGACTCCTGACTCTCGCCTGTCCGTGGATCCTCTGGCTGTTTGCACAAATGTTACCTCTTAAAATCACCTGAGGAGCAAACAAGTGCTCATCAGCTGGTGTGAGGGAGTTGGTGAAACCCAAGGGGTACAGCCAGGAACTCAAGTTACATCTTGGCAAGATTACATCCCAAACTTGCATGTGTAGCTTAGGAAAACACCAGGACAAGTAGCTGGAGGTGGGCAGGGGATAAAAGGCCAGCAATCTGCTGGTGCCTCTGTGGTCCTCAACAGTTAAACTCAAATTTACCTGTGAGACTCTGAGTTTTAACACCTGCAAAGTGTTAGGCCAGTAACAGAAACGGGTCGAAAAGGGCTTTTTCCAGACGTGTTTGGTTTGGGGTTTTTTTTGCCTTTCTTGAAGTCTCTCAGCTCTCTAGAATAATGCAGAGAGTCATTCCCTGCAATGAGGTACTGAAAGCTGCTGTGAAGAGGGGGAAAACGTTCTGAGGGAGGCTTGTTCTCAGTGAAGAGCGCTCGTTCTTTGTTCCTCACAGAACGAGCTGCGTTCTTGAAAGTGAAACAAAGAGGAAAAGCTGTAGTTTAAGATTAACTTGTAGTGTTAAATTGCCACTTCCTGATAGGGTTTGGCCTGCAGGATGAGGGGAGGAGATGGGAAGGGTTTGGTAAGATGGACAGAAAATACCTGTCACTGTAATGGGTGTACTTGGGTCCCTGTTAACCTAGGAATAAGATTTAAGGTATTATGACATTATTCTTTCTAGTTCCCTGTAGCAGATATGTCCGCTTTCCTCTTAGAAGTGCCTTGTAACACATTCTCACTTCCTTATCACAGCTTCAGATCAGGCTGTGGCCCCAGATCCTCTCTTCTGGGCGTGCCAGAACTCTGTCAGAAGTCAGTGCGATGGTTAAAATCTCTCACTAAAGACCTGTTTCCTTCAATTTTCCTGCTAAAGTTCAGGATTAGAATCTGCTCGTGCAAGGGCTTGAATGGGGGAGGTGTGTGTGGTTCTGAGAGCTTCCTTGGAACTTCAGGGCTGTGGGACAGCCTAGTGGACTATTTGGAGCTGAAGAGGAGTGGATGAGATATTAGCGTTTGGAAGCTAAATTCTGAAAACACCTGCCCAGTGAGCACTGGGATGTATTCCTTCTGTGTTCCTCCCTCCCCGCTGGTGTTTAAATGAGCAAAATGTCAATATTGATTCTGCTGTGACTAGATCATGTCAGGTTCAGCATTTCCTACCCCTTCTGCCACTTGCATGTAGTTGGCTAACTGGCACAAACACTTTGGTGGGTGCACTACCCAAGTCTTACCAGGAATTAATCTTGATCCATGTTCTGTAGTGTCTGAATCTTGTTCTAGATACTCTCAAGCAGAGATGAGGAAATTAAGTGGGTTTTGGAGTAAGTCTGGAGTTGTTTTTTTTTTTCATTCTTCAGAAGTGCTAGAGAATACCTGTGAGGGGGTTTCGGTCTTGTGTGATGGTGGTTAGTAGATGACAACTGAGTAGCAGCTCCCAGGCTGCTGGAATCATCTGAAATTGTTTGTGTTCTAACCTTTCTAAACATCGGTCTGCAATGCAAAGTGGCATTATGTCTTCTGGGTTCTGTTTACTTACACAAGCGGTGTGTAATCAAAGTGACAGTCATGCTCCTCTTCAGTAAAATTTCTAGGGTGGTAGAACAAAGACCTGGGATTGAGGCTGCCTGAGTACCTGTTCACTGTAAACTTGCAGCTGACATCAGTGATTAAAGCTGATTCCAGCAGTTCCTTCTTGGAGACAGATAACTACCTGGTCTTGTCTGCTTTGGCATAAAACCTTCCTGGCATTTAGAAAATCCCCACGTGCCTCCCTGTATAAACAACAGTATCTTAGAGCCCCACAGGTCCCTTGTTCCACACAGCTTTGACCAGGCCTGTCCTAAAAACTTGATTTCCTGGTTTTCTGCTGAACTGCTGACACGGGACATAAGAGGAGGATGCTGCTGCACTGCTCAAAACATCCACAGGGCTGGTTTGGAGGTGCCTGGGTTTTTTTTTCTTTTGCAAGAGGCAGTTAAACTTCACATACTTGTCCTTTATCTCTTGGGCAAGAGGAAGTGACTACATCCCCTTCCTGGTGGAGAGGATTTGAAAGCCTCACTCCTACTGACTAAACCTGCCTTGCCATATGTGCTCTTCCAGTGGGATTTCTCTGAGAGTCCCAAGTATGACTTGCTTATGTAAATGGTGAGAAATAATTGAATGATTAACCTGAATTCCCACTGTGTCCTAAGTAGTGCAGAGAAGGCTCTCTAAACTGGAGGAGCTCATGAGTTTAAGTGTTCAGGTTTAAGGAGCAAAATTCAGTGGCTTCAGAAATGGTTGTGTGGCTCTTTGGGAGTAAATATCAGAATTAACCGGTGTGTCTTGTTGGACCCATTGCTGCAGTTGAACCCATTTACACAGATACTCTATTGGTGTAGTTCAGTCTAGAAATATTTAGTTTTATTTGCTTTAAACCATTGCTGTACCCAGGAGCTGTCTCAAGCATCACGCTGTGTGTAACAGGCTGCACGTTTGGTTCTCAAACCCCTATGTGGGCACCTGCTGTGTTTTAAAAGGTACAGCTTCCAAACTGTGTTTGGAAAGGAAGGCACTATATTATTGCAATATGGATTGTCTTAGAAAATTAAAAACATAAATTGCAGGGTTCTGCTTAAATTATTTCCAAATTGATGCAGGTCTAAGCATCAGCCTTGCTTATCTCTGGCAAAAGTAGGTTTTTGTGACACAACACCAGTTTCTATGGTCAGAGACGGAGCTAACCCAGGAAAGGCTGTTTCCAGCCTGTTGCTGGCCCTCGTTTTGGTGGGGGTGAGGCAAATGGCTTAAGGCCACCACGTGAGCCTGTGGTTATCACTTGCCTCTGAAAATACTGAAGCCCTAAGTGAGGGGAGATCTGAATAGCAAAGATGTCAAACCTAGTATTTAAGGCTTCTGAGTTCCTGTTGTATTTACTTAACAATAGTTCTGTGTATAAGCTGTTATTCTTGTTTTAATGGCAGGGTAGGTTTGGTTGGGAGCTGCTCATAGTGCTAAGAGTAACAGAGGAAGACAAGTTACTTGATGTCTGGGGGAACCTGAATTACTCTTGGAAGCAAGGGGAGGCTTTTAGGTGGATCTCAGACTCATAGCTGAAGCCTTACCTATACCAGGAAGGATTACTTTTTTCCACTAATTTTAGTAAAAACAATGTAGTGCTAATATTCACATATTAATATTCTTAAGGGGATTATAATGTGCTGCAAGCTGTAATACTTTCAAGTGTATTAGTGCTTGCTTTAAGTAATAATGTAACTTCAGGATTGCTGAAAATTCTGGATATGTAGGAAACTGAAGAACCCAAGCTTCCTGAGGCATCGTGGTGGGGGAGA